ATTGACCCTGCTAAGACCTCAAAATTCCAAACAATGATATTATCAAAATTTATTGATATGAAAACCTCGCCGGTCGGCGTAGATCTCCAATTTTCAAAGCTATAGTTCGACGGACAGCGTAATAATTCTTACTCAATAATATTTTGAATGATTTTATGAATTTATTAAACAGTCGGTTTTAAACACCCTAATTCTCATGTTCGCCGGACGGCGTAAAATGAAAATATAACAAATTCTGTAATTCGCCGGACGGCGTAAGAACAAAACTGCTAAAGAATTTAAAATGACCGTTTACAAATGTTTATAGTGAAGTATATGAATAAACATTTAATGAAATATGATGTGTTTATAAGGGTGATGTAATTGATTTTGAATAAATTTGAACCCTTAAAAATTTTGAAATTTGTTTTAAATAAAGTTGCTTAATTTTTTTGAGAATTTTCATAAAATTGTTTTTGCAACAAAAGTGACAATCCCACCGCTGCCACCAAATCAGCTGTTACGTTCCGAACTAGGCGTGGTTTTTAAATAAAATGAATTTTATTTACTTGAAGGCTGATTAATCAGGTTGGTAAAGCCTGATATACTAGTCGATTATGCTAATTAGTGGGAGAAATGTCATATTATTGAGGAGGGGGTGATCTATAAATAGAATCACTTTCCTTATATGGTAATGATCTACATCGCATATATGACATTGAATCTCCTTCTTTCTGAATTCTCTCTTTTTATGCTGACAATGGGCTTTTGAAGATCATATTACACTTGGATCTTCACAATCTTCGCATTCTTCATGCGTACAAACAAACAAGCTCGAACTAGTTTCACATTTTGCTTACATATATCTTATTATTAGCTTTTCAACTCTCTGAACTTTTATGGTGAAAATGAATGTCATATCTCTTTTGAAATCGATTTCGTTTCCACGCTCTATCCTATCAATATATACATAAATAAATACATTAAAATAAGACATATAGTTTAAATATAGTAAAATTATCATAGAATTATATGAAATGTCTTATTTTAATGATAATTTTAAGGAAAATTAGTGAAAATTGTTACCGGGATGTAACAAAATTTCACATTTCGGCAATTGTTTAAGCAAATAATTGTTATTTACCAAATTTTTTTACACACAGCATCTTGAGAGTTCGACATTTTTTTTATCATTTTGCGGTTATCTAAGGTGAGTAGTGTATCATAAATATGTATTTTGAGTTTTATAATATAGTAATTGATTAAACAAATAATTTTTGTTATTTATTAACTTTTGACACACAGCATTTAGAAAATTGCAGATATTTTCTCATTATATAATTTTACAAGTTGAGTGTTATTTTTGTAATTGGTTATAAGCTGCTGAGTGTTTCCATGTGAAATGTTTAAGAAGTAAGTGAATAATAGTCATTTGTCAAAGCAGTTACTATAATTGTAAATATATATACAAAACGACGATGTCTTGATAACTTGCTAAGTAATATGTTAAATTCAGCTTGATAAATTGCATAATGTGAAAGAAGCTGCATCTATTTTAGTTTACTGCAAGAAAAGTTTGTTATGAACAATAATCAATTGTTTAAGCTAAGAAAGTTTGAAGCATCATATTAATGAAATAGGTACATTATTTTGTAACGTGTAACAATTCTGAGAATATTTTTTATTACTTTATGGCTCTTTTGTAATATATATATATATCTTTTATAATATACATATCTACCTATATTACAAAAAAAACGCCGCCAACGCCGCCGCTGTTCCAAGACACTGAATATAGCCGAATGTATTTCCTTTTATTATTATTTTTGTGTCAGTAACGTTTAATTGAATAAAGTAAACAAACAATAATTGACAATTATCTTACCGTTTGTATTATTGAGCACTCGTGTTCAGTGTCTCTTTCGACTTTCCGTTGAACGTATACTTTTGTAACGATAGAGTATCGTAGTATAGTGGCGCGGCGAAAAGAGAGAAAGTAGACAGCGCACAGTGGGGCAGAATGCATAAAAAGTTGGCAAAAAATGAAAAATTGAAAAATTCAATTCCAACTTTTAATTACATTATTTCAATAAACAATAAGTCAAAGTTTGATGAAATATAATTTTTAGCTCTTTTTAACTGCGGATTTTCATAGAAATATGTTTTAATGTCGACCTATTTTCAACGGTTATGTTGGCGCTTTTTTGTTTATTTATCAAGGTAAGGTTTGTAACCTGATTAAAACGTACAATGTGACAGATTTTGAATTATTTATCATGGAATCTTCAAATTCAGGTATTTAATTATATTATAGAAAGGTAAAATCGTATTTTATAAAATTTTAATTATTAAAATTCTTAAAAGAAACGAGCTTCTGAAATTCAAAAATTGAAAAAATTTTCTGTAAACATTAATCATTTTAGTTATGTTCCAAGCTAGTCCAAGCGTTAATTCTTGAATTTTTTATTATGTTTTGATTCCAGGTTTCTGAATCTGCTTGAAATTTTTGCGAATATTTGCGATTTTTCGAGAAAAAGTGATTTTATTGGACACATTGCAAAATACAGAAATACGTATTTTCAATAATGAGTGTACTTTGTTTTAAGAAAATTTGTTAACCTTTAAAAATTAAACTTAATAAGATTTTGATTTTAAAATGTTCTATATTATTAATTTTATATTTAAAAGTTTATAATTGAAATTTATAAAACGGGATAAATAAATATTCTTACAATTTTTGAATTTCTTCGTCGGATAAGTATTTTTAATTTAAGTAAATATTTGTAATTAGTGTAGAAATTAAAAATAAATTATTGTAATTTTTATATTAGGAACGACTTCAAGCACGCTTCATGCGTAAAGAGAAAAGAACTTGTTGAAATAATGAACCGTTCAAATAGCAGTAAATTCGATGAGAGATTTAATTTTTTAATATCTGCCATTTTGAATCTGCTATTTCGTAGTTTTAAAAAATTGACTTCATATTCGTAATCAGCAACCCCAAAAATCTGACTTTAGATTCGTAATCAGCGACCTCGAAAACCCTTAGATACCAAATTTTATAGAAATCGAACAATTTTGAAAAAAAATTGTCCGCCATATTGGATCCGCCATTTTGAATTTTTAAAATTTGACGTTAGATTCGCAATCAGCGACCCCGAAAACCCCTAGATACCAAATTTTATAGAAATCAAACTAATTTTTTAAAAAATTGTCCGCCATATTGGATCCGCCATTTTGAATTTTTAAAAACTGACTTCATATTCGTAATCAGCGACCCAAAAACTTTTAAAATCTTTAATGTCAATAATTTTTAATGAAAAATACATTTAATGCCAACTTTTTTAACATTCTGCCCCACTGTGCAGCGTAAGTAGTAGTGTCACTCTCTTCCCCCACCACTCGCTGTCACCTAGCTGCTAGTGTTATACCTTTCGTCTCGCGCCTTTTTCGTCAGTCTTCTTCCGACTAGCCTAGAGGTGTTTCTCTGACTATTGGGAGCGACTCACTCCTGGCTACCTGGTGCTCAGTAGAGGTGCGTCTCTCTGAACACCAGAGCCTTCCTCACTTCCTAGAAGGAGCTGTACTTGTTCCTGTAGGTGCTTCTGCGGAACAGTAACACCCTTCGCCCTCCTTCTACCTGGTGAACCGGACTTTCTATGGGCGCTTCCGTGGAAGACTGGTGAACCAGGTTACCCACTCACTTCCAACAGGACCATCCTTGTCAAGTAGAGGCGCTCCTCTCTTGACAAAGATGATGCACTAGGCCGATACCCCATCTCAAGGCGCTTCTCGGGTGGAGGAGACACCTAGTGAATATTACTTCGCACTAGTTTCGCGTCGGGCATGAATATTGGAACCGAATCCAATATCTAGCTTCTTCCCGATTACGAATAATAATCGACCTAGCGTGCACGACCCTAGTATCCGTCCGTACCGTCGTCTAGGGGGTAAATTCTAGAAAGTACCTCACGCGAAAGTAATATGCGCCGTCCTGATCAACATCTTCGCGAACGTGGTAAATATGTTTAAATCCGTTTGGTTCTGGATTAATGACGAGCGCGATAGGAGCTCAGCAAACGCTCCTCTAGAATAGCTAGTTCTTCCATCATTATGTTTTCTAGAGTTTAGTATTTTATTTGCATTGTATAGATTCTTTCGTTCTTATATTATTTTATGTAATAATTCATTTTTGTATATTTTATTATTCTATTATTTAAACAATATATTCTCTGTCGAAGGTTTAAATAAAGTCTCGTCAATGACTACACCTCTCCTCTACATCATAGTAAGAAATAGTTCCGAAATTATTAGAAACATAGATGGCGCTTCACGCCATCTACCGAGATTTAAAGTAACTAGTCAAAATAGGTACCTGGACTCCATCCGGCGAGCAAATCCTTTGGCAATAAAAAGTCAGATCATTACACTTTTAAAAATGGCATGTGAGAATTATATTAAGTGGCAGGTAGATTTTTATAGTGCGGTGAGCAATAAAAAAAATTATAAAACATTAACGCAAGACGAGTATGACAACATTTTAAAAGACTTGCAATCACTACTGTGTAATTCAAAATGTCACAGTAGTTCTTCTTGCTTCAATAAATAATACATACATCTATTAATACAATGAGACAAAACGATATTTCGTCGTCAAACAGAATTTCTGACAAAATACACAATTGCATTGAACATTTGAATTTTTTTTCATTTTTCCCAATTTGCCAATTTTGGCTATGGCAATTCGCGAAATGCCTAGGAAATTCGAAAGTTCCTATGAATCGCCAGGAAATTCGGATAATGCCTATACTCGTAGTCATTTCTCGAATTTCCTAGGCAATTCGGGTTTTGCCTGGTCTTCGGGTTTTGCCTGTAACATATATATGTCGCAGTCTCTTTGTGAAAAACCGCACTTCATGAAGTGACTGGACGCTTCATGAAGTGCTGCCACATTGTGAAAAAAATATTTATTTCACGATGTGTTCAAAATTTTTAGGCATTTCATGAAGTGCTACAGCCAATTATGCACTTTGTGTAACTATATAAAATTCCCCACAAGGCAATGACTGCAAATCTATTAAATCAATTTGCCCCCCCTCAGCAAAGTCACTTGATAAAATTGGTTTGACAACAATTTTTTTCGATGAACTTTTTATTTCATTGCAAGTTTTGCAACATGTCAAAAATATCTCAATTGCTGATCGAGGAACATTTAATTTATCGAGAAAAGCTTTTTCCATTTTAGTTCTTCCCCCGTGTCCTGTCTTGTTCACATGATAGTCATAAATAGTTTCGAATAAATCTTCGTAAGGCACAATGTATTCAACGTTTTGTATATCGTCACTTTTCCGAATCAAATGTGATTTGCTTCCAATGGTTAGAATGTCGTATTTATTTAAAAGATGGTATTCTCGTCGATGTTCAGTTTGACTGCAACAAAACAACATGTAACAATATAATAATAATAAAATCAATAATTTTACATATAAAAAATATTTTAATAATCAATAAATAAATTAATAATAAAATATAATGTAATTTCAAAAATTTAATAAAATAAGTATCAATAAATAAATTAATAATAAAATATAATGTAATTTTAAAAATTTAATAAAATAAATATCAATAAATAAATTAATAATAAACTATAATGTAATTTTACTTTTGTTCACTGTATTATATTTCTAAAAATGTATTCATTTGAAATGAAAACAAAAATTATTTATGTACGTAATAACTACTTATTGCCAAGTTAATGACAATAATATTTACAACTGAAGTTCCATTAATTTGAAATTTGTAAAATTATAAATAACAGAAATGATTTTACATTTGTAATTTTAAATAAAAAATTTAATTCCTTTAATTTATACAGTTTTTATTTTAATGGTTTTTACAGGGTACTTACGTTTTATTCTTTGCTGTTACTATTTCACTAATCATTTTGGTTATTTCGACACGAGTGTAAGGTTTCTTCTTTGACTTTTCTAAATAGTATTGCTCTAGTTTTTCAACAAAATCACTCTGATTTATTATCACTGCTGGCGACACTGATTCGTTGTTCATTTTCTTTTTTAAATTATAATTTTAAATGAGCAATCTTTCTATGTCAAATGTACTGACGAAACGTAATTAATAAACAGTCACCCGTAAATGAATGACTAATTGATAGGTAAAGGTAGGGAATCAGATTTTAATTAGAGATTAGACTTTGCGAGGAAATTATATTCAGAAACTATCTGTTAATACAATTTCTTCATTATCGGCATTTAGCGAATTGGACATTTCATGAAAGGCATTCTTATATTGGACGCATTGTGTAATTTTATATAGTTACACAAAGTGCATAATTGGCTGTAGCACTTCATGAAATGCCTAAAAATTTTGGACACATCGTGAAATAAATATTTTTTTCACAATGTGGCAGCACTTCATGAAGCGTCCAGACACTTCATGAAGTGCGGTTTTTCACAAAGAGACTGCGACATATATATATGGGTGATTCTCCGCGTAGCGCACGATTTGGCGTTTGAAACTTTAAAAATATTTTTTTATCGAAATGATAAATATCAATACATATTTTTGAAGATAAAGTGTCAATAAATAAATATCCATGGTGGGCCGGAAAAATAGTTTATAATTTTTTTAAACAAATTAAAAAAAAAATTTTTTGCTTTTTGAATTTGATAAAATAGTTGAAATTTGATTTGAAATGTTTATGAAAATTTTTGGGGTAATTCACAAAAAATATAAATAGCGCGAACCACAATTAAAAATTTAGATTTCGGTAATTTATGGAAATTTATGCTGTAATTTATAGAAATTTTGTCTAAAATTCATAAAAATATGTAAAAAATAAATTACAATTAAAAATTTTTATTTTGGTAATTTATGGAAATTTTTGCTGTAACTTACAAAAATATACATAGCGCGAACGACAATTCAAAATTTTGATTTTGGTAATTTATGGAAATTTATCCGGTAATTTATGGACATTTATGTGGTAATTTATGGACATTTATGTAATTATTTATTACTTTTCTAAATTTCAATGTTTAAAACAAATTGCTTTGCTTCACTTTCTATGTGTACTTATAGACACTTCAGTGATACACGTCGTTCAATAGTGAAAAAGCCTTACCCTGACAAAAAGACTATACCATGACGATGAGACCATACCATAACGCACAAGAAAAACTGATTTTTTTAAACAATTTATTATTGATTTTCAATCTGTTTCATTTGCATGTTATTTATTTTCACTGAACTAATACACTTCAGTTGACATAAAATATAAATAATTATTAATTTTATTAAGAAATATTTGAAGGCTATACCATGACGATTCTGTGATTCCCTATGCACATTTGATGCTTTTTATGTGTGAAAAACAAAAAAATTAATTTTGAAACAGTTTCCCTCTTAGTAATTCACTTAGGAGAGCTTATTGTTGCTTTTAACTAATGTTGAGTTAAGTTTCGATTTGATTTTTATGTAAAAAAATGCTATTTTATAAAAAGGCATGACGCAAAAACGAGGGACAAGAATTAACACCAAAAAAATGAAATAAAATAAATTTTTTTTTACAAATGTTTTGTTTTTCACAATTCTACTAACATAAACAATTCAAAACTATCAATAGTTTTTATATTGATTACTATATTTTACTAAAAATAACATTTTTTATATAAAAGTGGAACTGGGGACAGGTCATACCATGACGTTTTGGCACCTTAAAACAGCTTTTTAAGTAAAATTATAAACTTTTAAATAAAAACGACTGTGAGTCTTTGTTTGTAATCATAGAAATTACTTTTCCCGTTGGATTCTTTTTCAATCGCCCCAGCCGAAAAAATCAATGTTCTGGGATTGGCTTCATAATTTGGTAAATTGTTGTCCTATATGATAGTAATAAATCCCTAAAATATAAACTCATTAAAAAATATTTGTAGAAAGTAGAGGGGGTTGAAGTTTTGATGTTACGGGTAACATTGTCATTTTCAAATCCGTATAACTATGACAAAAGTTAATGGATTTTAATTTATCTATAATGAATTTTAATGCATTTTTCACGTACTTTTCAAAAATGTATACGAAAGGACCCCGCACAAATTACATAGAAAGTAGGTCTCCGTGGAATTTTTTTAAACTTTGCAGAAATGAAGTTCAAAATATACCTGACAAAAAATGTTAATGGAAAAATGATAAAAAATGGACAGATTTTTTGCTACAATTGTTTTTAGAATGTTAAAACGTGATTTATTAAGCAAAAAGAAAACAAAAAATAGTATTTTTTAAAACAACTAATTGAGAAGATAAAGGGCATTATAAATATAATAATATTATATTATATTATATTTTTCATAATGACAGTCAATCTTGCTTCAAAATTACATAAATACTGTCTGTCAACGTCAAGAACACTAGGCAATATTTCTACATGGCGGACATAATAAATGTTGTGTCACTATATCCTCAACATTGCAGGGAAATGTTGGCAATATTGCAATACAATACACTATTTGGGATAAGTCTTTATTCTCTGCTAGCGATTATTTTTCCAAGCCTTAAAAATAGTACTACCCGCGTGAAAAAATGTGAGTTACCTCAAGGCCACTTACAGCTCGCTCAGTTAGAAACTACAAACTCGTCTAAGGCTTGCATTAGCCTAAGACTTAAGACTTGCTCAATACTCACTTCAGCTAAAATATCGTGTAAGACTTAAGGGGATGTCAAAATCTATTGGATTTTTACATTGACCCGCTAGTGATGCATTTGAGCCCCGCGTAAAAAAATATTCGCTACCTCAAGGTCACCCCTATGCTACCTTAAGGATCGCTCAAGGCTAGCTTGAGACTCTATCCAGACACACTAAAGACTCATTCGAGGCCTAAGGCTCACTTAAGGTTCAAGATTTGTAGGAAGTTAAAAATTCGTCTATGAATCGCTTAAGGCTCAAGGTTTAATTAAAGCTCAAAATTCGTCTAAGACTCATTCGAGGCTTAAGGGGGGAACACCAGTTGTAACTCAAGAAATAATGCTTTTTACAAGAATATTTTCCAAAAGAACAATGAATCTTTTTAAAGAATACTATTTATTAGTTAAAAGTACATGTTAAAAGCTGTAATTTAAAAGAAAAAAAATTTTTTTTAACAAAAACTTTTAGAGATATGAGCCATTGAAGTGGCGCCTTAAGAAAAAAGGCGAATTGCGGTGACCAGCATTCTGCAAGTATACTTCGTCTGAAATACAAAAATGAAATTGATTTACATTTATTATAAGATTATCTAGTTCGTGATCGAAAGATTTAAAAAAAAAAAAAATTTGACAAAATGGCGACCTGTCAAAGTCAAAAGTATGATTTTCGTTAAAAAAATACGGTCGATTTTCAGCTATATAAAAAAAAAGTTTTGCATAAAAAAAAATCCTTCGATTACAAACTAGACTTATATGTGTAAATGAAGCACACTAAATTTTAAATAAATCGGTTTAATGGTATTCGGGTAATCGTGGTCACCGACTTGGAAAATGTCATTTTGAGAAAAACGCATTCAAAGTTTCAACTTACTTTTTTTTGTTCAGAAGAAATTTTGTTTCCAATTTACAAAGAGTCATCGATTCCTGGACCATATAATAACTCTTCCGCAGTGGTTGCCGTTTCTAAATCATAGGAAAAGGCCATCTGTCGTTAGGGTCAGGTATGGCAGGCCACCTTGTCTGAAGCCACGGGACGCGCCACTGCAGTGTTCTGTATATCTCATTTATTTTTCACCGGATCAAGTTTAAAATTTACAGACACATTTCTAAATATGTATACTTTAAGAAAATGCAAAAAAAAAATCGATTTTTCGAAAGTTACAACTGGTGTTCCCCCTTAAGGCTTGTTTGAAGTTAAAAATTCATCTAAGGCTCACTTGAGGCTCGAGGCTTGATTGAAGCTCAAAATTCGTCTAAGAAGTTTTGTTTGAAGTTAAAAATTCGTCTAAGGCTCACTCAAGACTCAAGGCTTATTTAAAGTTAAAAATTCGTCAAAGACTCGCCCAAGGCTCAAGGCTTGATTGGAGCTCAATACATACAAACAAGTCTTGAGCTTTATGTCTATGTCAACCTTGAGCTTCATGCGATTGTTCAACCATATTGTGAGGTATGCTAAGAATTATTTAACAAGTATACAACTTTACCGATCTCGATTATCAAGTTATGTTCCCGTTAACTAAAGTTCAATTTCGTGATATTTATAATCACTGTGACCCAGTGCCATGTCCAGGAGGCCACAGATATGTGGCAAAAAAAGACCTTTTAATGTTCTTGTGCAGAATACGGCAAGGAATTTCGAACGAATTTTTAAAGGTCATTTTTCAATATTCCACTAGACAATCTGTAAGTATGGCTGTTTCAACTGTGAGACAATCTTTGATGATAAGATTTGTAACTCAAAATGTTGGTCTGCAATCTATTACAACTCAGGAATTTATAGAACAACATGTTACAGACTTTGCTAACGAACTTTATAATCCGCAACCTGAAGTTCCTAAAGTAATAGCGTATATTGATGGTACTTACGTTAAGATTCATAAGAGTAGTAATTTTCGTTCTTTGCGTCAGTCTTATTGTGTCCACAAAGGTTGTCATTTAATAAAACCTGCATTAATTGTAGCACCCGATGGATACATAATAGATGTGCATGGACCATATTTTTCTGACTCACGTAATAACGATGCTGCTATGCTTAACAATGAATATCAAAAAAATGCCGATCAAATGAGAGAATGGTTTCCAAGAGGATCGATATTTATTGTTGATAGTGGTTACCGTGACGCAACTGTTCTTTTTGAGTATTTAGGTATCCATTGGAAAATGCCAGCACTTTTGCAGCGTGGACAAAATCTGCATCTTACGGAAGAGGAAAATGAAAGTCGTCTAGTCACTAAAACTAGGTGGATTGTGGAAGCCAGAAATGGTCATATAAAGTCGATTTTCAAGTTCTTTGCCCACACCCTTCATTTGCAACATGCAATAAACTTAGAAGACTTTTTCCGTATAGCTGCTGCCATAATTTTTTACTG